GCCCGCGTCCTTATGATAGTTGTCCTATCTGTCGTGAGGGTCTTACTTAGACGTACCTTGCACCCTGACAAAAATGTGCTGGTGCGCTGAAAAGAGTGTACAAGAATGTGCAAAGGTGGGAAACCCTTCACTAAAACTGCAAAACAGTGAAGACTGCAGTAAAAGAAGATCATAAGTTTTTGTCGTTTTACTTTGTTTGTACCCCGCACCCTAACACCCTTAAAGAAAAAGTCCGAAGGGTGAAAATGAGAATAAAAAATGAAGAAGGAAGTGTCGGTGCGCTCAAAAATGGATGTGGTAGACTCTTCACCAAAAACTGCAAAACTGTGAAAGAAAAAAGAATGCAGTGAAAGAAAGAAGATGTTTGTGTCACCCTGATTTTATTTTCATTTTTTTCTCCCTCTGCCTATCGATTTTCCTTTTTTGCTCCTGTCTCCCTTGTGTTTGACACCTCTTCCTTCACTCTGCCTTTTTCCCATAGCGTGCAAGTGGGCTGTTATGGCATACGGGGATGGGGGCAGCTCGCGCTCAACTTCATCAACGTGGCGAGCCTTGTACGTTAGAGGCACAGTAGAGGAGGCGTTAAGAAGACTGAGAAACTGAATGATTTCAATATGTCTTTGTTTTTTATTTTTATCCTTTGATTCAGTGTAAATATTTTTTGTAAAACACTGAAAGAAATAATAATACTGTGAAACAAAGTGTCATTCTGGTTTGTCTGTTTGTTTGCCTATCTGTCCTTTCAATTTTCTTTTCTTTGCTCATCTTATTTCTTCTTCTACTTCACGTGCTCACGCTCTTAGTCAATAGTTCTGTGACAATATATATGCCCACGTTGCTAGCTCTCTGCGTTTGCAGATCGAACGGCGAGCGTCGGGCCTGTACAACCAGGCGATTCTTCAATTGAATCTTCAATCGATGTCTTTCATTGATGTGTAGATTGCGTATTGTCAATCTGCGTTCTGCATTCTGCCCTATGTTCTCTCATTGCTTCAGGAATCATTTCAGGGGTTGTATTTCATTCAGCGGGCTCTCTGATAACCTGTTACTTTGTTATTATTTTCTTTATGCTTGAACAATACTAGCCCTATTAGGTGTTTGATCTGGTACGTTGCTTGGTGCTACGGTTTTGATATTGTTTAAGGTATTGTGCACATAAGGACTGTGGTGGCGGTCACCGCAAGGASAMAGGTTGTAACCCTTTTCCCGTGTAGTGGGTATAGTTACGACCCACCTAAGGTTAGCCAAACCCGAGTGGAAGCCCCCATGCCCATCTCACCTCTTCGTATCGCACTCTTTCGTGTAATCCTCACACATTAATAAAGCCTATAGGTTGGCTTGCTTTTGCTGAACTGACACTGTTGGTCTGTCGGTGCAAGGTTGTGAGCACTAGGATCTCATTGGATCACACAAGGTCACAGCACACTCACCGGGGGATAAAGAGTCATACATGAACCAACATTCTG